TCCCTCCATTTAATTAGTCTCCGGCATGAACAAGCCCATCTTGAGCATGGTTTCCATGGAAGGAGTGATGTCCGCACTCACGCTCGAAAAAATTGTCAATGCTAAAATGATTCATTATGCTTGTTAATTAATACAGGAGTTAAATCCTCTGTTATCTATTTTTTTTTTTATAACCGTAGATATCCATTTCAGCTTATAGACTAATTTTTAAATTTTTAAAATTAATAACTAAATAAATTTTTAATAATTCTAAAATTTATAATATTTCAACTAGTAATTTTTAAAAATTAAATTTAAAATCTAATTAGTTAAATTATACCCTGCAGAATTAAATTTTTTATTAATTTTTAAAGTATTTTTTATTTAAAAATAAATTAAAAATTAGTTTTAATATCAATATATAAAAATACAAAAAATATTAATTTAAAGAAAAAAAACTTTTAAAATATAAAAACAAATAGAACTAAACTATCCGTGCAACCTAGTCTAAAATATAGGGCTTAATACGTGCAAGCTAACTATAAAAACTTAGCCTGTGCAAATTAGTATAAAATATTTGTATAAATAAAAATAAAAAATACAGGAGTTCTTCAGGTCCATTGTTTTTGCCACTTGCATTACGTTGGGTTTCTGTTCAGAACGCTGATTGACCTGTTGCCAAGAATCTTTGTGAGCATGCCACGGCCCAAATTGAATATAACCCCAATCAAATATATATATATATATATATGGGTTTGACCAGTGAACAATTTCTTAATCAATCAATTATTAGCAAATGTTTAAAAGAATTTTAATTAACTCCTTCCGTTAATATCTCTGTTAACAGAGCTAATGGAAAATCCTTCAGATAAATTTCAACTTGCTCTCGAAAAACTGATTACGTGTCAAAGAAAACTTTCATGTTATTTATTTTTAAAACTATAGATTAACAAAAAATGATTTTAATTCATCGTAAAGGGATGAATAGGAAATATAAATACTTTATAGTTATCCTCGACGTTTCATGCTTTTAAGACATTTTCGCTTTTATTAATTGCAATTATTCCTCTAAAAAAACCAACATTTCCAATAATTGTTTTATTTTCATTGCATTTCCAATTTATTTTTAGGCTTACTCTTGGATAAGACTAGAGAGGTGGATTAATCGGAGCAGTCGCTAACAGTCATATAATATTAATCACTTCGTAGTTGTTTTATAGTTTATTATTTTATTAGTAATAAAAACATATGACAAGAAAGTATTTCATTAAATTGGTACGAGTCACCGATAACTTTCACATGATAGATCTTTTATTATTTATTTGTAATATATGATTTGAAGTAATTTAATAAATATACCCCATGTATAAAGTAAAAAGGTTATAGTTTTTTTAACATGAGATAAAAAAAAATAATGTAGATATTTTAATTTTTAAAAATAATATATTAATATAATATTTTTTTGACGTGGGATTAAAAAAAATTAAAATAATTTTTTAAATTTTATTATTTATAATATATATAGTCTATATTTACATGTATTAGTTTTTTAATGTTTTTAGTTAATTTGGGTTAATTCGAATTTATTTATGTAACCCAGAACTCAGCTCATTAATTAGGTCAATTTTTAGATCGAATCTAATAATTATATTTTTTATATATTAAAAAAATCCACAACACCAATCCTAATTTGATTTTTATAATTAAATTATTTTTTATATTAATTTTACTTATTAAAATTATCCAACGAGAATTATTATTATTCTTTAAAATAATATTTTTTTTTAAAGTATAATTTTGGTAAAAAAATATAAGTTTCTAAAAATTTACATAAAATTTCTTAATTATATTATTTTAATTTAAAAGTAAAATTGAAAAAAAAAACATTTGACAGTAAAATCGAAAGGTGGGTATTTTTGAGATCTACTCTTTCAAGTTTCTAGCAACCGGAAAACCGTGAAACTTGTGTAGCAGCAAATTCAGGCTTGACCTAGCAGGCTGCTGATGTCAGCAGAGAGCTCATTCAACCAGTCCACGACAAGAACCTTCTCATGCTCAACAACTGTGAGCCCATCGGACATAACTCCGAATATTCCCATGCTCATTAAGGAAAGTGCGCCACACCTTCCTCTTAACGCCTCTCCCTCATGGACAAACAACCACCCAAGACTGACTCCAGATGCCACAAAATCGCGTGCATTTCCTTTTTAAAATCAGCGGCTAATACAAGGGCTTTTCAAAATTCCAATCAGCGGCTTAAAACCAAGCTAATTGTTTCTTTCGTTTTGCCCAAGAAATAAAAAACCGCTCATGTGACCTAACTCCCTCACCACGCACCTACTCTTCCTTTATATGACCCTCAATTAGCAGCCACTCTCCTCACTAAATTTCTCTGTTTAAGCTTATCCCTCAAATCTCCCCTCTTAATTCAAAATCTCCCCTCTGTTTCCCGGTACTATCAACAACAATGGGTAATGATTATAAAAATGTATCTTCGTTACACTGTTTTCTTGATTTTCACGTCGTTTTAGTTTTCATTTTCATCTGATCCGATTTCGTTTTTCTTATTTTTGTTTAATTAACAGCATGCGATAAGAAGATTAAGATCGGTATCAACGGTAATTTTCCCGATCTCAAACATGTTTTTTTTTTTTAATTTCCGGTAAAAGGAACAAAACATTCATTTATTAACGTTAAATAAAATAAAATGTTCATAGGATTTGGAAGGATCGGTCGTTTGGTTGCTAGAGTTGCTCTTCAAAGAGATGACGTGGAACTTGTTGCTGTTAATGATCCTTTTATCACTACTGACTACATGGTAACTATTTATTTATTTTTTTGCTGCTGTTTTCGTTTTTCTATTGTTGTTAACAGTGGCGGAGGCAGGGGGGGTCTGCAAGGAAAATTTTCCCAGCCCCTCCCTTGGCACTCATTTAATATATATTTTAATAAAACAAATTTTTTAAAAATGATTCTTTTAATTTGGCCCTCCTCAAATTTTTTTTCTTGCTCCGCCCCTGGTTGTTAATGATTTTTTTTTTTTTTATATGATACAGTTCACGGTCGCTGGAAGCATAGTGAGCTCAAGGTTAAGGATGAGAAGACCCTTCTCTTTGGTGAGAAGGCTGTCGCTGTTTTTGGCATCAGGTAAAAAAATAATAATAATACTGTAGATATTAATAGAAACATTTGTGTATCTTGCTGTTATTTTACTGGGATTTTATTTATGTTTATTCTTATTTCTTTCTTATTATTGGTAGGAACCCAGAGGAGATCCCATGGGCTCAAGCTGGTGCTGAGTTTGTCGTTGAGTCCACTGGAGTTTTCACAGACAAGGACAAGGCTGCTGCTCACTTGAAGGTTTCTTTTCTTTGCATTAATTTAACACAAAATCCATAGAGAATGTATTGAATTATAATCTGATTTTTTATTATAGTGTTTATTTTTACGTAATAAATAAATAATCTGTTGGTTCAGGGTGGTGCCAAGAAGGTTGTTATCTCCGCCCCAAGCAAAGATGCACCAATGTTTGTTGTGGGTGTAAATGAGAAGCAGTACACTCCAGATCTTGACATTGTTTCCAATGCTAGCTGCACTACCAACTGTCTTGCCCCCTTGGCCAAGGTATCTATCTATTTCGACGAGTTCTTTTAACTAAATGGAGGTAAGGGGCGGATTATTTATTTACTAATCATCATCTTTGCCCCTTGATTTACAGGTTATCCATGACAGGTTTGGAATTGTAGAGGGTCTTATGACTACAGTTCACGCGATTACTGGTGAGCTTAGCTTCATGTTATATCCTGATTTATCTTGTTGCTTTTCTTTGCATTTGGGTTTGAAAGTTAGTCCTCTGATGCTCTGTATCCATGTTATTCAGCCACTCAGAAAACTGTTGATGGTCCATCAATGAAGGACTGGAGAGGTGGAAGGGCTGCTTCCTTCAATATCATTCCTAGCAGCACTGGGGCTGCCAAGGTATGCTTTTTTTTTTTTTTTTTGGGGGGGGGGGAGCATTATAGTTTGTTTATAGTTCATTGCTATGTTTATGTACCTACGGCCGGACCTTATTCTTCTTCGTTCTTTGTCAAATCTCATAGGCTGTTGGAAAGGTTTTGCCAGCACTTAATGGAAAATTGACTGGAATGTCCTTCCGTGTTCCTACTGTGGATGTCTCTGTTGTTGACCTCACTGTCAGGCTTGAGAAGAAGGCAACATACGAGGCTATCAAATCTGCTATCAAGTAAGTGCTTGTTAGAATGATCTTCTAGTCAGAATCTTCTAGCTTATTTATATTCTGATTTTATTTGTTTACCTTGATGGTCTCCAGGGAGGAGTCTGAGAATAACCTCAAGGGTATTCTGGGTTACGTTGAAGAGGATATGGTGTCTACTGACTTCATTGGTGACAGCAGGTAAAGGAAAAGGCTGTGATGTTGTCTTCGTAGACCATGTGGATTGTGCTGGCCTGAATACATGCTTTCTTTGTATTGAATCTAATGGTTGTGCTTTATGCAGGTCAAGCATATTCGATGCCAAGGCTGGAATTGCTTTGAACGATAACTTCGTCAAACTTGTCTCTTGGTATGACAATGAATGGGGCTACAGGTACATTTCCCCCTCCCTTTCCCGATTTTTAGCATTCATGGTACCTTTGCAATTGTCTTCTCCAAAAGGTTTGAAGGATGCGCAGCTGATTGATGATTCCCATTTTTGCAGTTCACGCGTGATTGACTTGATAGCTCACATGGCCAAGACTCAAGCTTGAAGCTGAAGCTGAAGCATGGATGATGAGTTGA